TGTCATAGCATTCAATGACGTAGCATTTGCTGAAGCCCAATGACAAAGTACTTCGAGAAAAGACCGTTGCTTTGCTGCCGCATGAAGTACATGGGTGTTCCGTAGTACCGACGACGAGTTTGAGTCAGAGCCTATCAAGTAAGGATGATCGCAAGTGGAATTAGGAAGTGAAAATAAAAGCAAGTGGAAATACATGAGAATATTTGAATACGTAGCGACTTTTGCAACAATGAGCGATGATTTTCGCTCATCAGGATGCGCAAGAATTATCGCTCATCGGTGCTGGTGCTGTTTGCACTGTTGCAACGGTGAGCAATAATTCTCGCTCACCGGGATGAGCGAAAATGATCGCGCATTGTTACTGTTTGCACTTTTGCAACAATGTGCGATAATGTTTGCTTATCCCTGTGAGCAAAAATTATCGCTCAGCGAACGGACTTCTTGGGTCAGGTTCAAGTAAATGTAATTTCAAACTTATACAGGTAATTTATACACTCATTATAACCTTCAAATGCTCAGTTTACACATACATTAAATTCATAAGTAAATGCGTGAATGTGAATGAATATTATAAAATTTATCTATAGATATGACAATTAATCCTCTGTAAAATACAATGAGTCAATTACCATGTCTGTCAATAGGAGTTCCGCACACGTCATCGTATTCAGCTGTTGGAATTTCCATGCTTTCTGAAAGTCCACTGTTACATTGTTCTTCCAGTCCACTTGCAGGTCCACTTATATCCCCTTTTGTTATATCATGAAGCCCAACTCGTTTATAAAAAGCACTGAAAACCTGTGAACACAGAGAAAAATAATTAATGCATCAGTACACAGACACTTTCAATGGTATATATAGTGAATTCATTGTAATGAACAACATTTTCATGCATACAAATATTCTATCAAATCAAATATGTATTCATTCATTTTTGTCTCTTTGTGGCATTCTTGAGGAATACAACATCATCACCCTCTTCTAACTCTTTCTTCTTTACACTACTTTTCAATTCTTTACTTTTTGTTTTCCTTTCCAAATCATCTTGAAGTAAGAAAAATCTTGAAGCTTACAATTCCTTCACATTGTCAATTTCTTCTTCTTCTTCAAGAACTTCGGGTTGAACGTCTGATGAGGTCCCAGTTGAACGTTGCCTCTTGTGAACCTCGTCAATCACAAGACAGATGTGATGCTTCTTGACAAATCTTGCACTATTCAAAAAATTGGAAGAATAGGAATAACACATTAATAAATGCAGTTTTTATAACCAGCAGTCAAGAACACTAACCCAAGTCTGAGGTAATCCTCAACTTTTCCCTCCAAGAAATCAATCCTATTCTGAAGGAGTTTGAGGAGCTTCTTCTGCACTTTATCTCCTCTTGTTTCATAATCCCATTCTGCATCCGTTTGTGGTCTGTTCAAAATGATATATAAAATCAAATTATAACATGTTAAAATATTAATATCACCTATACACTATCAACTTACATCCTTGTCAACTTCAACTGAGAAAGAGTTGGAGGTGGGACTTGTTGTGGAATTTCGGTTGCTGACAGGTCCGGTCGGTTTGCTGGAAACTTCTGAAGTCCTCGACGCAACCATTCTTCGTACGTGGCTGGACTGCAGTAGTGCCTAACAAAGGGTTCCAATGGAAACCTAACATTGTTTTCTTGTGCTCTGCAATATATAAATGAGAAAATTTTGTAATTAGAGAATTAATGTATATCACAAAAACATTAGTATATACATACCCCTCACAACTGCAGAACTTCACCCGCAGACCATAGTCCACCCACAGTGGGATAGCGAAGTTAATGGCCACATTCAGATTGAGGCCAGTGTTGAATCCAGCATGTGGTCCTCTTGGTGTTGTGATTATGAACTCGTACGGATGTTGAACTGCCACACACGCATTCAGGCAGTAATGGTCCAACCAGACTTCATCAAAGGCATAAATCTTATGCCTTGGTAGGTTTCCGCATTCAGGAAAGTCTTTCCCAATTGCACACTCGACAATGTTTTCATATTCCGGAACCTCACGTGCACCCATGCTGTACCTGTAAGTATATTAAATTTCAGACAAATTATTATCTATCTTTGAAGTAAAGTATGCATGTAAGTATATGTATCTTTACCAAATCTTTGGATATCCACCCCAGTGCAGGTTCACTGAGAAGAGGTCCATATCCTCACAGTGCATGGGGAACGAAGAGTTACGGGTGCCGATGAAGAAGAAAGGAGAGTTGACTCCCTCAATGGAAAACATGGGATCAAAACTTGTACTGAGGTTTCCAAGAATTGATCCCGGTAAATCGGTCAAAGCTGCACAAAACGTCCCCTGCAAATACAAATGATACACTAATGTTAATATCACAAGTTTAATACAAACATACACATGTATATAAAAATATGCACTTACATCTTTTGGCCTGCCCTTCTCCTGTATTATTCGTTCCAGCCTGAGAGGATCAAGTTCTGAAACTGTCATTTCCGTGACATATTTCACTGATGGACTTCTCTGGCCAACTTCCAGAGCACGTAGGCTTGACCAGTACGCCTTTCGATTTTCTTCCTCACTTGATGATGCACCTGCCTTTGTGCATTCCACCTTCGGATCCATTTTTGGTGGATGCTGAAGAATACATGCTCCACCACCAACAGAATGTGGATGCATGACTCCTTCTATCCTAGCCAGGTCAAAAAATTCCTGGGCAGTCTTGATGATGGGTTGGGTGCATGGCTTGATGACACTGGCATATATGCCACGCCCATGCACCTTCTCCATTTCCTGGTCGAAAACCCTTCCTATGGGTTTATTCCGAAGTCTTGACCACAACGTGTTGTCCTCTCCATCTGCAGCCCAAGTGATGAGGCCTTTGCCTATCGGGTCCAAACTTTCGATCAATTCCGCGGAACACTTTAACTTGAAGATTCCATCAACCCACGCGCGCTTCTAAAAAAAAATGTGGGTGATGAACTCTCCAAGCCTGGCATATTCCTCAACACCAATTTTGTAGGTTTGGCACTTGCGCACACCAACAAAGTCTTCATAGGAAGACATTTCGTTTATGACAAATAACCTGGAATATTCAAGTATAAATTTGTCAGCATACTAAACATGATGCTTTCGTCATTACGAAGCAACAATTAGCGAGAATTCTTGCTACCAGCCTCAATAGGCTTTAAAATGAGGACATGGAATACATGGAATGCAAACAAGCACCACACACCTTCACATCACAGTTGTTAACTTTATTCAAAAAACTAGTATCGAGTAATAATACAGCATTCATCCATTGTACAGTATATCACTTTTGTTCTATAAATTTTGTGGCTTCCCCATAAAAAGCCAGGATTCTCCCTTATTGAGAACTGTTGAGCCTCTGGGCGCGGCCATGTTTTACCACTCCTGCCCTCTGATTCTATTTGGTCTAACAAGGGATTTTGCAACGGTCAGCAAGGATTATCCCTCACCGTTGCCAAAGCGCTTCAAACTTTTACACACTGTATGACAATTAATGTCTGCAGTGCAAAGAAACAACCAGTAGGATCCTACAGGGGCTTGGGGGGGGGGGCGGAGAATACGGACGTTGTGTAACGTGTGTCTTTGGCCTTTTGCACCTTGAATTAATTCACCTATTTGAAAACGCATCAAGTAACATTAAGTTGCCAGAATGGCCAAGTGGTCCAGGTCACCGTCTGGTTTCTGAAGGCGTGGATTCAAATCCCACTTCCGCAAGATTTTTTAAATTTTTTTTTTTTTTTCATCCGCACTGCGGACGCTCTACTACTTGTTTTAACACAGTCTGGTTTCTGCAGGCGTGGGTTTGGATCCCACTTCTGCAATCATTTTTCTTTTTTTTTGTTTCTTTGTCTGCACTGCGGACACTACTACTTGTTTTAACCCGGTGAGCAAGAATTCTCACTCACCGGGATTAGCAATAATTATCGCTCATCCCAGTGAGCGAGAATGCTTGCTCAGCAATGCAAAAGCTCTTCTAACTATCACGCACTGAATGGCAATTATTTTAATAATATTACACCTCAATATGCAGGGGCAATAGCACATGCATATGTCATCAAGCTTCCCTATCATTCTTTTTTTTATTGGAACTATTTCATAGAGCATTCATTCATTCATGCCTATACATCACACATTAATATATACACTATTCATTTATATAAATATATAAATTTACAACATCATACATATGTGTAAACCAATTAAGATTGGAGCAATGATTATCTTCTCCCAGCGCCCGCTGAGCGAGGATTCTTGCTTTGAAGGCAAGAATTTATTGCCACCATCACCCCTGGCAATAATCCTCACTAGCCTCCTTTCTGGACGCGGCCCGGACGCATCCAATTTTGAATCTTTTGGACGCGTCCATTCTGGACGCTCTACGGACCTGTACTACAAGCGTCTTCCTGGGACGCCTCCTAACGCTTGCAAATGTGGACGTGTCCATTTAATTGTCCTCATACCGTCCCCTGGGGACATGTCCCCATCATGTACCAGACCACAAAGCATCCCTTTTGAACGCGTTCAAATTTTTGGGTGTTGGAATCTTAATTAGACGCCTCCTTTCAGTGTCCTTTTTGGACCTGCCCCACATTTTCGCGCTAGGTTTTCCTGGGTATGCACTATTTCTTTACATCTTCCAAGTAATTCCACCTTGATGTAGATGTCATTTGTCAGTTTTCTCACTTTTGTCTTTCATGTGGGTACAAGTATGAAACCCATAACTATCCAACTGGATTGTTTGCAACACAAATCTTGAAATACCCCATAAGCACTATTCTTTTACATCTTCAAAGTACTTCCACCTTGATATAGGTGTCACTTGTCTGTTTTCTTACTTTTATCATTCATATGGGTATAAGTAAGAAACCCACATCTATCCAACTGGATTGTTTGAAACAAAAATTTGCAATGTCTGTGGCATTACAAAGCTAGAACCAATAAAACCAACAAATCTCACCTCAACTGGGATGGACATCTCTAAGGGCCTAGGCTGAGATTATTGCACAGTTCTGAATCCTAATGCAACTCTTAAATCTCCAAGAGCTGAGTGATGGAATGATTGCAGCAAAAGAAAATTCACATCCTTGATATACCTTGTCATGCTAATATGTAAGGATCAACCCTCATTACACACGCATCTTGGGTGCAGGAGCACATTGTTGTAAGAGGGGAAGAAAGCATAACAATGCCTTCACTCCTGCTGCAAAACTCAATGAAAAACACTTTCTACCCTTAGGTATAACACAATATGAGTCTGTTGGCCGACAGACTTTATGTGAGTGAGTCTCTCAGCCAACAGACTTCTTGTGAGTGAGTCTGTTGGCCAAGAGACTTTCTGTGAGTGAATCTCTCTGCCAACAGACTTTGCAAGACTTTGTACGGCAACTTTGTGAGGTTGATCATATTTAATCCATTACCTGCCATGGGCCCCATTTGGGACTCTTCTACTTTTTGTCTTGCCAAAAAAATACCACCAATATAAAAATTATATACAAATATGTCAAGGCTTGACAATGAAGTTCTCTAAAATTCAAGACCTCATTTGCCTATTTATGTCCATTTTTAAATCCACAGCAACATGTTTTCTGAAGCCAACTCAAAAATTATGTTGGAGAGTTACAATATGATATTTGAAATTCAAGAAAAGTACTTTTTAATGCAGCTAAATTCAAAATTTCTCATGTCCTTGTAGCCTGGTTAGTTCTGAATGCTTTGGCATATTTTATTCAATTTTTGAAAATTTTGGTCAATCACAACAAGTGCAAGAAACTTGATCCTCAAATGGGGCTCAGGGAAGTTGGGGTGTAAAAAAAATTATTTTGGAAATTTCTCAAAAATGTCTCTCTGGGCCAAGAGACTTTCTGTGAGTGAGTCTCTTGGCCAACAGACTTTGCAAGACTTTGTATGGCATCTTTGTGAGGTTGATCATATTTAATCCATTACCTGCCATGGGCCCCATTTGGTACTCAGCTACTTTTTGTCTTGCCAAAAAAATACCACCAATATAAAAATTATATAAAAATATATCAAGGCTTGACAATGAAGGTCTCTACAATTCAAGACCTCATTTGCCTATCTATGTCCATTTTTAAATCCACAGCAATATGTTTTCTGAAGCCAACTCAAAAATTCCGTTGGAGACTTAAAATATGATATTTGAAATTCAAGAAAAGTACTTTTTAATGCAGCTAAATTCAAAATGTCTTATGTATATTACATAATAACATTTTAAAATGTCTCAAGTCAATGCAAGTCACTGTAGTGACTTCTACAAAGTTCAAATTCAACTCCACTCAAGCACCTGAAAATTTTATTTTGTACTCTAACAGGTTTGGGCATGCCCTCCCCCCCCCCCCCCCCCCCCCACCCCAAGCCAAGGCCAACGGCTGCCTGAAATGATGGCAGGATACATCTGGGGATGCCCCAGCATCCCCAGGATGGTTCCCTGATGGCTCTGGGGATGCCGCTCCATCCCCAGGGATCATTCTCAGATGCCCATCTTTTAGGGAATCCTGCAGGATGCATCCAACTTCAGGAGAGCATCCTGCACATGGGGACTCCTATGCCCATCTCCTATCCCTAGCTAGTCCATCCCTTGGTATGCCTAACTGCGGGATGCCCAGATTCTTTGCTGGGTAACCTAATCTAACCAAATTTAAGGTAACCTAATCTAACCAAGTTTAAGGTAACCTAATTTAACCTAATCTGATTCCACATAACCTAACCTATTTACTTATAGTGAATAAATGGAGGGAAATAACATATTGCATTATTTTACTGTAAACCTTTTTCAGAATTTGTATGAGGGAATGTCCATCCAAAGAAAGACAGGCAATGTGCAGCAGAATTTTTCCAGGGGGGGGGGGGGGGGGGCAGATCAGGGCGGGATTTTTCCAGTTCCAGTTCTGATATTTTCTTGAAGCAGTTAAACCAGTACCTTGAACATTTAATCACTCAAATCAAATCTTTCTTGCATCTCATCTGTAATGAAAATGCTGCATGGAAACAAGGAATTTCACTGACATAAATTTAATGAGTACTTAAATTTCCAACCTTTCAATAGATGCCTGCAATGATTTCAACTTGAAATGCTAATTAAATAGATGAGATTTAAAAATAATGCATGGAAACAAATTCAAATACTGTATCAGCAGAGTATTCCTGAGTTGAATCACTTTGTTTTTGCTCATATGATCAAATATTCCATTGAAAACTGAAAAAAGTGTAGAAAAGTCACTTTGATTAATTTCATACTGACCATTATTGATATGTATTCATGTCAGAGTGAAAGCTTTCACTGCAGAGAAAACTAGTGAATGCACTTGGCATTCATTGTAGCAATAAACTCAGGACAAACCCCATTTCCATGATTTGCAAAGAAGCAACAGCATTTTTCCAGGGACTTTATTGATCATATTTTAAATGTATGACAGACAATTTGTAACCAGCAATCTACAATGGAATTACAATCATCATTCATCACAATTCCAAGTTTATTCATTGGAGATTGGAATTAATTTTCTGCCGAGAACGCCACAATAAGGAGCTATCAGGAATGAATTCAATTCGTCAAGAAGTGTACACTTTTTTGCTAGTTTTGGAGGCTCAGAAGAAGTATTCCACACATAAAGTTGGAGCCCGGCAGAGTTACAAGTAAACTTTCGGGTTCTGCAGTCTTTAAATTTGTTTATTCTGTGACTGCCATTTTTCCAAGCTCATTCAAAGGCTGGGGAGTACTGAGTTGAATTGCACAATGACTGATAGGATTATTAAAATTATTATGTCAGTTTGGATTAATATCTGCATAAATCCAGCAAAAGTCTTAGTAAAAGCTCTGCTTTGAAAAAGGTTTCTCAGAATTAATTTTAAAAATAATTTATTTCAGCTGGTGCAAATATATTTGAGAGAAGCATTATCATGAAAAAAGCCAACTTTTATTTTGCATCAGATAATTTCAACTGCCATTTTCTTTCCAAAATTGCAGATAAAGATAACAGGCTTCATTGCCTCACCTTTGATGCAGGTATTAAACTGAAGGAATGTTCCAGATGCAGACTGGCAGGAAACATCTGAGAACTGGGACTATATTCTGAGGACCACTGGCAGCAGACCACTGGTCTAATGCCTTGCTTCCCTAACCCCTTGAGCTGCCTGAGAAGAAAACTTTCCATAATTCTTCTGGGGACCAGCAGGGGGGTATGAGTAGACATTTTTCGGGCATGCCTAGCTATTTTGATGCAGGGAAATTGATCAAGGACAATAACAAGGAGATTCTGCGAAACGGACGTCTTCTGCAAGTTCTGAACCGCAGGTACAGTATTTGGTTATTGTTTTTGTTCTCATATGGCTGAGATCGCACCTTGTCATGAGTACAAGTGTTCTGGGCTGGCTTGCTGCTTTATTTTCGACTGTGGCTGATGTATGTTGTTCAGTCCATTATAATTTCTGAACGCGGTGTTTGGGATTGGATGGTACAGTATATACTGACGCATAGAATGTAAAGTACAGTACTTTGAATATGCGCAAAACTTGTGCAAGACCTATTATATATAAACGAAAATTTGTTGATGAAAATTCATGTGGGCTTGCGTCTATAATAAATGTGTCATCAGCGTCTAAATTTATAAAATAAATGTACTGCATGTACTGTATTTATGTGACATGCAATACAGTATAAGTAAAGTACAGTACTATATTGTTGCAACCGACCATTCTGAAATAAAATCAGGCATGCGTGTGATCAAGGGTATTGAACATTTAGCGACATCTATGTGATTAGTGCAGGTATGAGGTGGGAAAGCTCCATAAATTATACCAACACACTTCTGCAGCATATATGAAGGATTGTTCACACAATTAACCCTTGGGCGGCTAAGTATAGGACTTTTTTGCAAAATTTGCATGCACCCCACGTGGAAGAAGAAAAAATTGAGGACAGTGTGCAGAGGGCAAAGCCAGGAAAAAATCCTGGCCTTTTTTCATTTGCACAGAAAAATTTTGCCTGAAAATAAAAAGAATGCTCCTTCAAGCTTTTTTTTCTTATTCCCCTGCTGCTGTGCTTCTCAGATCTGAAGATCCTGGCCAAAACAAATCACATGAGGTGGATCAAGCGAGGTAGAAATGGATAATTCAGGCTGAAATTTCACAGCTCATCCAAAATCCTTTTAATTTTCTTCACCTTCTGTGTACCACAAATCCCTAATTTCATTTATTGAAAAAGAATGTTTGGAACAAGAACTGTGAGAATCACTCTGAAGAAGGTTTAGAAAGCCTGGGAAAAATTAGCTCTGGGGAATAAGCTGAAGTGGAACAAATTATTAGAATGTTTCACACTGTCTGGCCTGAAAATCTCAAGAAAAGCTCCCAACAAATTCAAAAACATTAAAAAGTAAAAATACCCTGAGGCTTCAAGCTGAAGCCTCAAGATAGCTGGGAGGATGAGGTCAGAACTGTGGAAGTCAGAAAAAGAGTCCAACTTTGGACAATTGCAGCAACTGCCTTTTCATGGATAAACGCTGGCTTTGCCCCACCCAACCTGGGGGCATTTTCTGACCTTCAGAAAACCAAAAACGCAGGAGCACATGGAAAAAATCCAACTCCGGCCCGCAATGGAAAGGACCCTTCTGCTGTCCAAGGGTTAAAGGGCTTTCAATTACAGCACTGCTGCTATTTATACTCTTGGCAGCACAGTCATCAGTTTTCAAGCCAAAACATAATTCTGGTGGTACTTCTTGGAGGTACTGTACAGTGATAGTTATTTCAATACGGAAAATATTTGAGAGGCAATCTTGTATGATAAGCATGTATCTTGTACCACTTTGGCTACAAATTGTTTCAAGGATTTTGGGTGTTTTTTTTTTTGATGATGTGGTGTGGTTGTCTTGTATTTCTAATGGTATGAGATTTTGTACTGATTGATTTTGCAGAATATATGGTGAAGATGTGCCATCATCATTGTAGCGGCGTGAGGTGAGGATGTTGACTGATCAAATTTTGCTGTCTTGCTTTCTGTGGTGGATGTTAATGATGCAGGGTAGCTTCCACTTTAGGCAGCCCACAGGTGTGTCTTTCTTGAATGCTTTTTGATTGAGAAGAACAAGCTGTCCTCCATTGGGTTCCAGACATTCATTGTGTTTTGGTTGTTTTGTGGTTGGGAATTGTCTGAGTGTTGTTATATAGCCAATATAATATGTTTTCCACAGAGCACAGGCAATGGCAATGCGGGATTGGGTTTGCTTGGTGATGCCTTTCTTGGTGGTGTAGTTGAGGAACTGGATTGGATTTGAGCTGCATCAGTATGGGTCAAAGTCTGGATTGGTGTTGTGATCAGCTTGTGGTGAGTTGATCAACATGGAGGGGGTTATTTCAATAGGGTCATCACAGTGAGAGGGAAGATATGTTAATGTTCTTGAATTGATTATGCATTCAACAAATGTAATTGCAAAATGTATGAAGTTTGGATTGGAGAAGGGTATGCCCTGAAATTAATGGGCTAGGTGGTTCTTCATCATACCCATGATGTATTCATACAATCTGCCCCACCAAGGGGCGTGTGCAGCATTAAAAAGCCTTTTGACTTGTTTTGTGGGGAATTCTTTTGTAGTTCTTCTTTGTTGGTGCAGAGAAAGCATGGCCAGGCAACATTGAGGGTGGTAGCATTATTAGAAACAATATTTTTTGGTTGGAGATCACAGAGGTTCCAGAGGCTGTGGTAGGCCCCCATGAATGATTCCAAGTCCAGTGTGTTGACAGGTTTCAGATGGACTGTGTGGGTGAGTGGGCTGGTAAAGACACATACAGAAATGCCCTTTTCAGTGGGTGCATAAGGGTCCAACAAAAGCAATGCAAACTGTTTTGAATGGATGATGTCCTGCTTAGTGGAATGTATGTAGAGGCAGAGGGGCAGTGGTTTGTGCAAAGGAAGGATTGTTGAAGCCTGTGCACTAGTGGTATTCCTTAATGATGTTGAGGATAATGCATTTGCCCCCCTGCAACCAGTGTTCCTCTGTGATTTCTCGTTGGAGTAGTATTGTAGAGCCATGTTTTTATTTGATGTGTTGAGTGTGCATAAATGCTCTTAGGAGTGTTGGGGTTTGGTTGCTTTTTGGAACTGGTAGGTGGATGACGAGTCTTCTAGCTTGGTGGGTTGCAGGGATGGAGGTGTTTTTGTCCAGCAATTGTCAGCTAATAGATGTAATAAGTTTTTTTCTGCATTCCAGCATAGGTCTGGTCTGTTATGCACCAGTTTTCCAGATTGAAGAATGCGCCATTTTTTGTTGTTGTAGTGTTTTTGGATTGTGCATATTCCTTCAAGATGTGCTTTTTCAAGTTCTTCTGGTGTAAAAGGTTGTATTTTAGTTTGTAGAGTTTTGTCATTTGAGGTTGTGTTTTGTGGATTTTGCTGTGATTTTGAGTTTTTTATGTTCAATGCAGTGTAGTCCTGCTTTGATGTATGTGACTTTTGTCCATGTATCTGCAATTATTGAAGAGGCCAAGGACTGCTGCATGTTCTCTGTGGAATTGTTCCTTGCAGGATGTGTGCCCCCCAGCTGAAGTGTGAATTTTTGTTGTTGCAGTTGGTTGTGGCCAGGAGGTCTTTTCTGGGAGCCAGGATGGTCCATTCCACCAAAGGGTGGCCTCTTGGAGTGTGTGAATTGTGCAACCATGGGATGCTAGGTCAGCATGATTGTCCTCACTTGGTAGGTGTCTCCACTGCAATGGTTGAGAGTGTAGTAGGATTTTTTGTGTTCATGTTGTAACATATTTTGTAGGTTTGCTTTCTGAGTTTTGTATCCAATAAAGGACCACAGCACAGTTTGTCCAAAAGTAGATTGATATTGACTGATGTTGTATATGCTTGTTTCAGGATAGCATAGAGGCATATTGCAAAGGCAGCAGCAGAGAGTTCCAGGCAGTTTATGCAAGGTGATTATTTTTGTTTTGGGTTTTTTCATTGTTTTTTGGGTACAGTACAAGTTTGGATTTGCCCCAGAGGAGTGTGGTTCTATAGGGTGCATTGAGGGTGGTAAAGTAAATGGCAACTCCTATAGGTCTTTGCAGCTGGCTTGGGCAAATATGTGTATTGCTCCAGATTGTGAAGCGGTTGGAGTGATAGGCAAGGTATGGCTAGAGAGTGGCATTGTGGGGCTTGTTCTGCCAAGTCTTGCCATATTAAGGTTTCATCTGGCATAAGGGGGTGTCCCATGGTGTATTAGGATGATTTTTGGTGTATGTTTGGCCATGATGATTGTTGTTTACATCAGCATTCTGAAGATTTGGAGCATTGAGATAGTAGTTGGTCATCATGTTTGTTATGGTGTTTCCTGTCTTTGTTTGTATTTTTGTCTTTGGTAGAAGAAGATGGATGGCTGAGGAATGTAATGGCCAAGAAGACATTTTGAGGTAGGCTGTGGTAAGGTTGGCATGTAGCAGAAGTGGATGACATGTCTTCAGTGCCAATTGACAGGGAACATGGTGATGTGGAAGGTGCTTGTCTGAGTGGTTGGCCAGAGCAACATTTGGTGCCTTGGTGTGGATTGGATGTGGAAGGTTGTGAGTGGACTTCTTGCCAGAGCTAAAATTTGAGCTGCCAAATTCATGCTGTTCCCCACTCTTGTAAAACATTGAATCATTTAATCAAGTAATCATGAACATAATGAATTTGGAATTTATTATGAAGTCAATAAATTTTAAATGAATTACAAAATCAATGCATTTTGAATGAATTATGAACTCAATAAATTTGGAATGTTTAACAATTTTGAATATTTTACAACAAAAAAAGAGCAGACTTTATTTAGTACATGTAAGTAGAAAAATTAAATTTGGAGTGGTTAGAAAAATTTTGAAGATCCAGGCACATACATACAGTGAGCAGCATAGAGAATGAACACAAATAAATATAATACAGTCCAACCTGGATAAGTGAAACCTCCCTAAGTCATAAACCCCCTTAAGTCAAATTTTTCTCCAGTCCCCTTCCAATCCCTTACAAAACAATGTTTAAAAAACCTCCCTAACTTGAAAAAGTTCCACCAGAAACCTCCCTAAGTCAAATTTTTGTAAACAAGGAGGAACCAGAAATGTTTTTATTGCAGGCGTTTTTGGGGGAGGAGAGGCACTTTCATTTGATGCAGCGTGCACCCCCATTGATTGAACAAAGACCAGACACTGTTTCTGGCCCCCGGGCGCCACAGTGTCTCGTTTTACTGCTGCAGCAATTACCCAGCAGTGAAAAGAAGGGACATTCTCTTTAAAAAAAAAAGATTCATGAATTCAGTGGCATGTTTGTGATTCAACTCATAGCATGCTATGCATTGAATCACAAGCATGCTGACTTAAATGGTATGTTTCAAATTTTTTCCAGTGGACTGAAAAAAATTTGAAAGGTATCATTTAAGTCAGCACAGGAACAAAAACTGGAGATGGGGTGGTGGAATTACATCGTAATTTCAACATCAGATTATTTTTGTCAAGCCTCTACTGGAATTAGATCTTGAAAAAAATCTTCCTTCTCCCCACAACTGGCCCAACATCATGCTGCTCAAAAATCTTAAAAATCTTTAAAGTTGTCAAAAAAAGTATTGTTTGAAGAAAAATGGATAAATCTCATACATTGGTCATGGAAAAATGTTGTTTCTTAATTACTGGAACAACCCGGTCTGCCTGAACTGGACTATTGTCTGCATGAGAAAAATGGAATTACCTCATCCTTAATTAAGTCCTTCCCTGCTTCCTTAAAGTTAGACTCCTGGAGTCCTGGGACAAGAATTCTAGGATAAATTCCTGAAAAACCAAAACTTGAGAATTATTGAATGTGAAGGGGTTGTGTATGGGGTTTTCATACTCTATATAGACTTTATGGAGTGTATCATTTTGAACATACCTCTAGTCAAGTCTTTGAGTAAGTCTTTTAGTGTTTGTGTTATCTCTTTTTTATGCCATATGTTGAAATACAGTATGACATGTTATGCAGCGCCTCAATGTGTGCAACCTAGAAATAAATTTGTCAAGGTAAGTTTTTTTTTAGACTTAGACATTTGGTTGTTTGTACATCATGTCCCCAACTTCTCCCTCCATTAATTTAAAAAAGTAGTATGCTATATAAATATTTTTAGCCCCCTGTAACATGAGTGGCAAAGTGCACCTCCACTCATGTCACATGAACTTTTTTTTCACCCTGTTCCAAGCCCCTGCTTGTACCATGAAGGGCCAGTCTGCACACAAGAGATTTTTCCATATTCACAATACCAGGAAAGTCCAGTTTTGCCAGACAAGGTTTTTCCAATTTCAGGGGAAAAAATAGTTGGATGATTTTATTCCACTTTAGCAGAAAAATAAAATGCCAAAATGCAATGCTATTCCTGATGATGATATTCCCTGACGAGATTAAATCTTGATTATTCCAGAGTGACGAGGTTAGGCCTGGTGACGTTATTCCAACCACCCCTCGGGACAACACAGAAAAAAAAATCAGGATGAAATATTGGTGGAGAATTCCGTAGAACACTGAAAAATGGCATATTTATATTTTCTGTGTAAGGTTTATTCCCAACATATATTTAAGCATACTTCAATATATGCTTAAATGTATGTAGGGGATCAATGTATGCCCTTTCCCAGTGTTATACTAATTTTGTTTCCCAATAATTCATGGTGAATTTCTTTTCCTTTTGTGTTGTCCCCAAAACCTCCCTAAGTTGAAACCTCGCTAAGTTTAATTTTTTTCCTGGTCCCTTGAAATTCAACTTAGATAGGTTCAACTGTATAACCTTTTCACAGTTTAATTCAGACAATGTCCCATTGAATAGATTTCAATTGTATACTTAAAGAAATTTGAAATGAAAAGCATGCATAGAGTAAACCAGACAAGAAAAGTAAACAAAATTAAAACAAATAGTAATTATAATTTTGAAGAATAAATCAATTCACACCAAAGTTGAGGAGTCAAATGAATAGTATAGTTGTTCAGATACACTGCCTATACCCATTGAAACAGACTTTCTGAAGTCTCTCATGAGTTATTTTCTTCAAGGAGAGTGATGGGTTCAGGGAGTAAGGGGCTGGGGGGGGGGGGGTTGCACTGGCTCATATGTTAGCAGCTCACATATGAGCTTTGGTGAGAAGACTGTATATATGTTGGAATTGTCAGTTGAAGGTATTTTGACAATTGTAGATGTGTTAAGTGGTGCTCTGGATGTGCAAGTAAGGGAGTTTGTGGTTAGGATTCAACAGCCAAGCATGGTGGTATCGAGGTGGTGATTTTGTTGTGAGTTTTTTTGAGCACTTTTCAAACTTTGTAGGGCACTTGCTCATCACTATTTAAATTTGAGGTTTTGAGGTTTGATAATTTGCCAGAAGTGTTTTTCACTCTTACTGGCCACCAGTTTGATGAGGGATCCTTACATTCTTGACAAAGAAAATAATTGAAAAGAATGCAAACTGCAATAGGCCGTTTGTGGCTGAGACCAAGTCTCCGCAGGAACTGTGTAATTTTGAATGAGAGATAAACATGCCAAACTTATCATGCCCAAACATTTGAGTCAATGAGTTGCAGCACATTTAAGAAACCTGCTGTAAACTCGATGCAATGAAGTGCAGATGCTTTTAATTCTTTCATTAAAATGAAATGCTGTCCACCATTTGATGGCATGACAAAGAAAATACTGCATACAGAGTACTCATCAATCTACTTTTATCTGCCATTGTGCGTGAGGAGATTGAGGACTTTTTGCCCTCTGAATCAGAGAGCAACGTCTGTTTTGAAAAAACTACAGAATGCTGAAAAGGGCTTACATAATAGTTGTTAGAAGGGCATGCCATTTTGTAATATTATATTTGATGTTTATCTTCAAAATTTCTGTGAAAATTGAGCAATTTTACCATGTTTTCCATGATTTTCTCCAATTTGTCCATCCTCAGGAACCATCAATTAATGTAATTTCACTTACACTTTGTGGGAAAAAGTGTTTTGCCTGATGAATGTTTTGCCCAACACACAAGGCAGGGAACAGATTGTGTTTGCTAGGCAAGGCACCTTTGTACAGTATTTGCATTAGAGTCAAATAAACAAAAATATGCAGCAAAGAAACCCTGTATATGTCCTGTACCTTTTGCAAGGTGCCAGGAATTTCCTGAATGGTGCTCATGTGCTGGGACACATTTGAGTCACATATCCCTGGTGATGCAGTCTTTAGCAGGAGTCTAATAATAAAAATGGGTGTAACTGAAAATAAACAAAGCATGGTGCTATTGGCAGCAACAAAATTGGAAAAATGTGCAGTTGATTGTTCTGAGATTGACCAGATGTATCAGGATTTTTATCAATTAAACATTTCTGTCTGATGAAAATATTCATGTGTTCACAAGAGGAATATATATGTCCCATTCCTGTACGGGTTCTCTACAACAAATTTCTCTTGAAATGAATTTATTCTGGCTCCCTGAAGTTTCTTCTCAGTCTGATCAACACCTGTGAGATATGCATCAGTAGCAGAGGAATGAGGCAGCCAAGGCAAGACTACTGTTTGTGGAAGCCGTTCCAATAGAGGGAGGCAGTGGTAAAATACCTCTGCACTGCATTACATGAATGTTGTTGAGGCTGGAAGTTGACCAATCAATCTACTGCTTGATTGTCATTCTGCCAAATTTCCCAATCAATCTAATGCTTGATTGTATTTCTGCCAAATTTTACATGTACAATGGGTGTAACTGAATCAAGTAGAATAAACTTTCAGTGTATTTATTCAGTAACTTTTGTTACTATCTTTGCTCATGCTTTGTACCATAAGCTGTGGATTACCTGTTCCCTCTGGTAAAAATGCCTTTGGACAGAGATGAGTCATTTTTCCAGGAAAAGAACCACCTGCAATCATGGCGGAAAAGCCCACCAGGGAATGCGTAGACGCATGCACCTAATCGTTTCGGCGCTATTCAGCTTCAGCAATGTCAGCTTGTACCTCACTATCATTTCCAGCGCTTGACCATTTTTTACTCCTGGTGCTCTCTATGTTTAATTTGCTTTCCTACAGTTCTCAATCCCTGGCAATTGCCAGGTGCATCTGACCTGCGAAGTGTTACGGTTTTCACTACAGTACTGTATGACACAATGATCAAGCATTTCAATTACGTACACCATGGATTTACTCACATGACTGCCATGTGAAGTGTGATTTGTCTCTCGTGGAATGTGCTCCTAATTTAAATACTGATTGTTGTTATTTATGACTAGGCATGCATGTGAGCCCAGTCACCGGAAGGCTACTGCGCCCGACGATTTTGCCTACCTGGAGTATTTGGAGCTCAATAGGTGCTATTGAGCTTTAGCTCCGCAAGCCGCCGCTTTGAAGTCACTCTTTGCCAGGGATTGGGAACTGTAGCAAAGCAAATGAAACATAGAGAGCACCAGGAGTTAAAAATGGCCGCGCGCTAGAAACGATAGTGAGGTACAAGCTGACATCCATAAAGCTGAATAGCGCCATCGTTTCTTTGTGGTCAGGGGCTTATTGCACTGATGTGCTCTTGAGTGTTATCGTGAGTTCTAGGAAGTTCTGAGGGCGCTGGTTACCTATGTCATTGGAGTTGATCTTCACATGGAGAATGGGGTTTGATCGTGGAAACTGTTGCTTGAGAATTTGTGTGACTTAGGAAGGCGGCAGAATGTTGGTGCCTATTATTTTCCCGGAAGCTTGACGGTAACCAACTTCATGCTGGATGAACCCGACATTGATGCGATGAACGAATCTTCTGATGCCAGACAAGTGTTAGATGATGGAGTAGCCATTTTCTGTTCGGATTCGCGAGTCGTAATGATGGACGTTTTTGACGTGTCGGCGAAGAGCCATGTGTTCGATGCCTGGTCAGAATTTGCGCGGTTCCACTCCATGGACAAGTATTGTGACGTATCAATTTGTGTCGGGTCTTCACTCATTCGCGCTCATCGAGTGATTCTGTCCGCGTGTTCTCCGTATTTCGAGAGGATCTTCACAATGATGGGAGACTCGCCAAACCCCATGGTCTTCATGCGACATACAGACGAAACTTTGTTCCGCCATGCTCTAGAGTTCTTCTACACTGGGGAAACTCGGGTCACCGCTGATGATCTTGAGGCATTCATTAGCCTTGGGCAAGAGTTCGAAATCCGTGGGTTGGATGGATTCCCTCTTGGCATTCATGATCCCTGTCCTGAAGATGTCGAACAGAAACCCAATCGGGCTGCTCCCAAGCGGAAAAGTGAGCTCAGAAGAAGGAAAGCCATTCCCGCATCAAAGAAACCCAAACGTCTTGCTGCTCTCAGTGTCATCAAACCCGCGAAGGTTGTAGAAGTAAGTTCACGATCCCGGGCTTTTGGCCTAGCGTGAAGCTCACATTTTACCACTTCTCTAGAACATGGTTGACGGGGATCTGTTGGATGTGAAAGTGAATGGGATCGCTGGGCCTTCCCGAGTTCCAAGTCCTCTTCCCGTGTCAGAGCTTCCCCCTAACCTTCCTGCGGACATTTCACGTGTTGTGAGTATACTCAGATCTGTCTTCAGCGGCTGTTCTGAAGGATGGAGGTCAACTTCTAGGGTGTGGTGCGTTTGACGGCGTTTATTTTGAGGGGAAAAGCGTCAGATGGGTTGTCGCTGAGTTTCTGCTCTGCCTGTGGATACACATCGCCGTCGGCACAAAATGCCATTCGTCATGAGAGGATTCATACTGGCGAACGTCCGTTCGAGTGTCACGTTTGTTTCCGTCGTTTCTCGCAAAGTTCCAACTTCCGTCGTCACCTTGCTGTTGTGCATTCCACAGTTCCTGACTAATGCTGTATTCGAGGAATTTTGTGGATGAAGCTTTGCTTGAAGGAGGATGTCGTTTTATGTGTATGCCGCAATTCCGATGAGTGTGATACTGAAGTTTTCAATGGTTTGCTGCCCAGGTTTAGCAGATTTATAGTCCAAAGAAAGTTTGTGCAAAAATGTCACGCATTGTGATACACTTGAGTCAAGCTAAAAATTGCAGTGGGTTCACTTTGTTGTAGACGTATACTGTATTCATATTCAAGGATGAGCTTCTGAGAGGTACTTCATGGTTCAGTTCATTAAACCTTCAGGCATTTGTGTTACTTCTGTAAGAATTTGCAGAAACACGATAATTTGCTGAAATTTCTATGTCGTATGATCACAGAATTCATTTCATTGAGGTTAATGGATGTCAAAGAATCCTTCTCTTGTTTTTTCTTGCCAAAGCATTTTTCACGAGGTGCATGGCTTACCCAGGGACAAAATGGATTCTTAAAATAGATTCGAGAGCAGAATGGAAGTCTGTTTGACCTCAAAAGAGGCAGACATGGCAAATCTCTCCCTGTTGTGGATTCTCAGTGAAATGCATGTAGTGCAGTATGTTATCCTCTTTTACAATTGAACACAGTTCAGCAATTTTGTTTTTTTTGTGCTGATTGTCACAGGAAAGAAAGCGCCTTTTTTTAGGCTTGTGACATCCAAGTGATAACAGTAGGATGATGTACTAGACGTTTCCCGTGAGGTTATCAAGTTCCGGCGGCATTGATTATCTGGTTCTTTGGAAATTTGAGCGTTACCAAACGGAAATATTTGTGTTTTCGAAAAAGAAAGAAGGCTATGACTTATTTTCTGACCCTGTATTGATCTTCTTTCTTGCAAGAGGTTTATTGGATAATTCTGGAGCATGCCTGAGCAGTAGACGCTGCCGTGGTTTTTTTGAAATCTCTCATCATTGCCAGACCACTGATGCAAAGGATCTTCGAGGAAGGGTGAACATCACTGTGGTATTTCTATTTGAATCAATCACAGCCACGGACTTCTCCACGTCGGCTCTATGATGATGTTGATGAGAAAAAAGCAGTTATATTATGGCCTTGAGAGTGAATCTCTGGGCGAATTAATCTTACTCGTTCAGCAGGACGGCAACGTGTGTCTCATCTGGCCTCAGTGCAACAACCACCTGCACTGGTTTAGCATTGTCAGGATCTGCTTGTAGAACATGGTTTTTGAGAATTATTGAGTCTGGGGTGATGAATTTCGAGATGTGTCCCAAGGCGTAGAACATGGGTTGTTTGTAGAACTCGTTGGCTGTTGCGTTGACGATGACTGGGGAATCTACTTGATTTCCGGCCCAGTTGGGCCCACCTTCAAGGTCCAGAGCGAGATTCCAGTCCACCCATCCTGTGACCCAGTGGTTCAGGTTCTGGACAATAATTCTGAGGTCAGTTCATTTCTCGTCAATTCATCTAATACATTTGTTAGTTGGAAAATTTGAAAATCCCTGATCTGCTGGAAGTTTTCTAGAAAATTCTTGCAGGAAGAGGAATATTCTTTTATTTTTTATGGGTTTGTAAGTGATTGCCTAAGAAACTTGCAGCAGATTAGAGAATGACATTCAGAAAGATAATTAGCTTTCCCACAAACTTGTGAAAGTGACAGTTGTTGTTGCATTGGTGGACTCTTCAATGATCTTGTTGACAATAAGTTCCTCTGTACAAAAATATCATTTTTAGTCCTATAGGGGCATAGGTTATAGAAGTTCTTCACAGTAAAATTATCTCTACAACACATTTTCTTTTGGTCCCTTAAATTTTGCTGCAGACAAGAATCAACCTGTGGCAATAATTTTACTCATATGAAGTGCCAAAACAGTTGGCAACTGATGATTGGTGCACAACAGAGCAATCAAGAAATGTCATGTGCACAGAACAGCAATTAATATTTTCTTTACTTGGTTTTAGAATAACTGTGGACTCTCTCTACAACAAAATTCAAGGGACCAGAAATTTTTTTTTAGAGATCCCCTGTCATGGGGAGGAAACCTTATGGGACAAAAGCAAAATTTGTTTTGCAGATCAATTTTTGTGGTTGCTGTAGAGGAAGTCCAGGTGCATTAGGTTAAGTCAATCAGATTGAGTTATATTTGTTTGGATATACAGTACTAAAAAATTCAGTTGTGTTAAAGTGGAACACTTGATTTAACTCACATTGCTTATTTTGTGTCAGGTGTGTTCAGGTTGATTACTGTGTAGTTTTTAGATCAGACTGATCATGTCAGGATACGTGAGGTTGCTTGTGTGATGTTCATTTGCTTATTTTGGGAAATTAGGTTAGGTCAGGTTGATTCAGTTCAGGTTTATCTGGTTATTTTAATGAGGTCAAGCTTCAGAAAAGGATGGGAGTGTACTAAGGGATGCATTTGGTAATAATTTGTACAGGATTTCAGGGACTTTCAATTTGGACCCATGGTAATCAACAAGCTTCACTTTGCTTCCTTTTTGGAAATACTCTACCAATTTTGGCTATCTATTCTTAATCTTGACTAAAAATGTTCCCAGGGTTCTTTCACCTGAAGCAGTTCGTATTTTCAGTCGACTTCCTCTCATTTTAGGTGGTGCTTTTGGGTCCTTCGTTGGGAGAATTTGTGGATCCAACTACTGTAGGTTATTTTGAAATCCTCGCAGTTTTCAGAATTTGTCCTTGCATCATTTTTATACTTAGGGTGGGTTGTTGGGGGTACTTTCCTGTTATCTCAGTACCTACTTCCTGTGCACCTACCAGAAACCGTGAATTTCATTTCTCCGCATTCTGCTGAAACTGATTTTGGGAGGTGGTTAGGTTAGGTCAGGTTATGTTAGTTACAAATATCTTTCAATTAACATAACCTAACCTAACTGCCTCCAAAAATCAGTTTCAGCAGAAACCCAAAGAAAGCCGAAACTGATTTTGGGAGGCAGTTAGGTTAGGTCAGGTTATGTTAGTTACAAATATATTTCAATTAACATAACCTAACCTAACCTAAAAAATACTGAACTCACGAGACAAAGAAAAGTAGGTACTGTGATAGCAGGAAAGTACCGGGTGGGGGTTTGGAAATGAAAAAAAATTCCTGAAGATTGAGAGTACTATTTCCGTACGAAATCTTGCAGGGCAGTTAATCAAATTCCGGCAAACTTGGGACGATGAACCAAAAAAGGTTTAGAAGCACTCTGCTAGACTTTGATCCGTACGAGGTTTTAGATTTTTAAAATTATTTTATTGGATGAGAAACCGGACAGGAGGAGGTGAAGTGGATAAAACACACGTTCATGTATTGTATCTCTCAAGTCTGTTCATGTGTTAATTGGTGTTTAACAGCCTTTGAAAATACCCAGAAGGGTTTCGTTGGAGAGGCTTTTACACGTGTTATGGAAAATGTTCGTTCTTTTAGCTCGCCGCTTCATAATCAAAGTATTTTTTGCACTGATGCAAGTGCTGTACTGTATTACTGAACATCCTGCAGGAAGAGAGTCACCTCGATAATGTCGAAAGCGTAATGTTCTCCGCGTTCCCAGGACCCGAGGACGACTGCAGCAGGATTGGGAATGTCCCCCTCACAAGCTTCGGTGTAAATGAGAAATTTCTCCGGGTACAGGTCGTGGGTTTCCGACAGTATTTCAGGTCCGAACCAGGAATCCAGGTACCAGTGCAGACCTATGCCATCCACGAAACCGGCCGCTGCTTCATCCCCAAGTATCTGAACAAGGTGAGAGTTTCGTTGCTCTGAAAAGCAGTGCTCACCACTCGTGTCCACAGTTCGAGTTGCGTTCGTTGATCGTCCATCATGATGAGTTTCACGTTTCCGAATTGCGAATGGTTCTTCAGGGTTGGTCCCAGATTCTCGGCGATGAATTTTCGCATCTCGTCTGCGGTCCAGCCCATGCAGTTGAACTCGAAGTTGGGCAACAATCCATCCAAGGGTTCGTTTTGCCCAGTTATTGCCCAAAAGTCGATGTACACGTTAAAGTACTCTTCCAAAAACCTGTGATTTTGAGCGTGTTGTGTGAAAAGGAAGTGACGTGCCCCGTCATGCAGAAAACAGTACAGTATTAATCAAAATTGAATCTTTGCAGAAGTTTTCGGGTGTCCTATTTGATAGTTACGTTAGCTTGATAATAATATGCCAAATAAGGAGTTGATTTGAACATGGAGTATTACAGGGACCCCAAGCACAGACAATTCAACTTACGGACGCAATACTGTAATTGAAGAAATGCAGCTACTCAAATTCTTCTCAATTTTGCCCTTGACAGAAAACAGAAAAATGGGATGGGGCTTTTAGAACAATGAAAGCCCTGTTCCCTCTGATAGTTTTTGAAATAATCGTGGGAAAAGCTAAAATTCTTTCAAGTGCAAGAAATTAAGTTTTAACTTCGAAAATGTTCTGTGCAGAGTTGGGGGGGGGGGGAGAATCTTGGGAAACCAAAATTTGTTCTGAAAGAAAAAACTGTGTTTTCAGAGTTGCTTTGAGAGTGTGAAGTCTCAACTTGTCCCTGTGTCTCTGGATGTCCATATGCCTCTTAATTGTCCATGTGTTCAATTTTACCTGTCTCTAAATCACCCTGTATTGGTGTATTGTATTGTCCCTGCCTCAAATTGACCATGTCTTAAATTTTCTGTCTCAATTTGCCAGTCTAAAATTGTCTGTCTTGATTTGTCCATATCCCACATCTGGACAATGTCTTGAGATACAGACACTTTTCCAACATTTCTAGAAAAAAATGGAAAATTTTGTTTCTAGAATATTCTGTTTGTATCTGTTGAACAAAGTGAGCTATTTATATTCACAAAAATGAATTTGAATGAATGAAATCAATCTTATTCTTAATTAAGAATTAGCTAATTTTTTGCTTCTTTTTACAGAACTGTCTCCAACTCTCCATCATATATGCACAATATACCTGTTATTTTCTTCTTGAGCTCCTTTTGATGCCAAAATATTGGATTCGTTGTGGTTTTCTACTGCACAATTATTTTCTGTAAGTTGAAGTTGATAAAATTGCTTTTATTCATTCTTTTAGGACTTCTTTCCTAATGTTTGATCGAGAGAACCAGTAATTAAACACGCTCACATTGAAGTCTATGGGGAATAACGTTTTTTTTTACATACAGATCTGGTGACATAGGGACAAGGTTCAATCACCAATTACTGCTCCACATCTTGGGGCCCCACTGTGTTATGAAAGACTCAAAAGGGATCAGAGTTTTCATGAGTAAAGCTAGAAACGCAGTCCGATTGAATTTTTGAGACAATTTTCCACAGGATCGGTCAATTGTCTGGAAAGAATGGGTTGATCATTTCTTGTGCTCACCTCACAAAATAATCTGCCCAAATTTGATAATACTCTGGTTTGAGCTTCCCTTGACCGTAGAGTTCGTTATTGGTTTTCATCCAAGCAGGTGCAGACCAGGGAGATCCAATGAGTTTGATGTAGAATCGGTTGGTTGCGAACATGGCATCATGTATCATCGGGATCTAGGATTGTTCGCGGGGGGAAATAAACGTTAGCATCGATTTCTGCTGCGGTCATATCCTATCCTCGAACCTTGTAGTCGTAGTCCTCCTCTTGTAGGCTGAAAGTCGCGAGTTCGGTGTCATTTTCTGTGTCGAGGTAAGTGTAAAGTCTCCAGGAAAAGTCCGCTCCTCCCATGGGTACTCTCCCTAGTACGTAGTTGATACCCACGTCCGGGTTGTAATACGAGCTGAAAGAGTATTTGTGTTATGTTCACAGAAAGTTGGGGTGAGACGGCTTAAATGAGATGGGGAAACCTGACGAGGTGGTATTTGACATCGTCGCTGAGCGCCATGTAATTGAAGGCCGCTGCGTCTGTGAAAGAGCCTCCCAGCCCTTGGAAGATCTGTTTGGTGTCCGAGTCTGAGAAGGAGATCACGAACTCCGCTTCCTCTTGGAAATCTGTAGAAACAGTGTGTGTTTCTGCTTCTTGTGGGATTTCAATCGGTTTGCGTTGCGCTTACTTGAAAGAATCACCGGAATGGTCGAGGTTTCGAACCTTGAGCCATCTTTGGTGGAAATAGTAATGGTCGCTGTCGACGGATCTGTTGGAGCATCTCCGAGTCCTGAGTAGTAGTCGCAGTAGTTGGCATCGCACACGCAAACTATACTGCCCCAGCCGTAATCTCTTTCCTGGCATGATTTCACCAGTTGTCCGTGTAAGAGGCTGAGAAATGCTGGTCGAAAAAGATATTCGTGGAATATACCTGATGTGTTTTTGATTCTATCTCGCGTTGGAACTCACCAGAAATTAGAAGAGTGGTTGTCTTCATGGTCGGTGCGGAATTGAAAGTGGTCAGAGGTGTTATCGTGCGTTGAGTTTGTCACCTGGTGGTTTGTCAGTGCAGCATGTGTGCTTCTTCTCGTGTGATAAGGGTTGTATAGTGTCCATGATCGACACCAGGTTATCCTGCGCCGTGAGGCTTACTTTGTCATGATAATGTTGGGTTACTCTGTGGAACCTTGTATGAGCGATTATGAAATCGTTTTCCAGAGTAGCTGCGCTCTGTTCAAGTTTTCGCTGCGCATCCCATGGGCAAGAATGTTCGTGCATAAGGTGCGTTTGGAGAAGGTTGCGATGCTAAGACCATGTCATTCAGACCATGGCCTGTGTGCGAAGTGCATTACTTTTCCATTACCAGCGTTTCCAGGGTCATCGACCGATTTGTGAAATATTTGTGCGCAAAAATTCTTTTTCTTTCTCCCGCTTTGCGAAAAATGGTCTTCCAACTGGACTGTCGGATGTTCAAGATCGTCGCTTTATAAGTTGCCGTCAGTTTACGGTGATCTGTGGGTGATATGATCAGAATGAACTACTGTATGATTTGTTTGGAAATCAGATGAGAAATATACCTCTGTCACTTTTTGTGTCTTGGATTTCCTTGTAGCCAACAAAAATTTTACTCTCTTGAGCACCTTATCCTTGGATTTGGATGAAAATATTTTATTATTGAGGCACAATTAAATAACTAAAAATCAGTTTGATTATTGGGGAAGCTGTTATTCAAATTAAGTGCTTTTTGATACTTGGGGTAAAGTGTAGTTGAACTCCTAATACAACAAATTCCTGCTTTGTTATAAAGGTTGTTCAAAAAAATGTGTAATGCTGGTTGACTACAAAATTTAAGGGACCAGAAAAGAAAGTTATATATAAGGGAACCTCTGTTACCTAGGGAGAGAGCCCAATATGTGCCAAAGAAAATTTGTTTTGCAAAGAAAATTGTCCATTTCAACTGTAGAATGATTTCTGAAAACGTTATTTTGAGAAGGAAGAAACCCTGATAATCCACCACATCAAACGCTTCAACATCCAGTCACAGGCTTCCTTATACTGGAGAGTTTTCCTACATGCTGTGCTGAGATTTAATGGAGTTTCTCTTGAGGAATCAGCAAGTAAAATGTAGTCCTGGGGTACTCATACAAGTCTTCCCATTTTTGAAATTTGAGACTGATCATCTCATCTGTACTGAGATGTCAATTATATTCATCTAACAGCATGGTGAAAGATGATACGCACTATGAAAGAACCTGCATGATGGATTCGTGTAAAAAAAAGACTGCTGAAGTTTATAATTTCGGTTGGTATATAAGAGGAAGACATTATACTGCTGTACTTCAGCATGTCATGATGATTCTGTGACTGTGAGGTTAATACTGTATTGCACGAGCACAATACACGTTCCTCAGATTTAAGTTTCTTTTCTTTGTGTTGTTCAAATTGGGGATGAAAGCATGATAGATTCACGTATTTAAAATTCAGATTTGCCTGCAGGCTATTATTCTGTCCGTTATGACTCTTATATGTGATCTATACAGTATATATATACATATAGTACTGTACTGTGTGACTTGATGGATGCCATGCCACTCATGAAATATTCATCATGCAAGTTCAATATACAGTATTGCAATAGACTAATAATAGAGCCCCTTAATTTTTTCCTGCTGTAACATCTGAAAGACAAGCATGGGTAAAAACTATAAAAATACTTAGTTCTCTATGCATTTGTCAGCAACCAGCATGAACTGTTCTGGCAATTTTCAATCCGCACGAACTATTCTTCATGCTGTCTTCCATTATCAGACTTACAATAATGGTATACTGTATTTCAAATAGTGCTCTGCATGTATATGCATACAGTGATACAGAACACTGCATAAGTGAAAATGGAGAACTGTTGGCTTGCAGTCCTCAATCCTCACTTTGTTCAAATACTTGTGGAGTTGTGGTATATGAATTGAGAGGAAACCAGGAAAACAGTGGATGATTTAATTCCCCAACAGCAGCATGAAATAGTTTCAAGGTAAAGTTGCTAAAATCGGGGTCTTCCAAATGCCGCTTCTGGTACAGGCTCAAAAATCGTTCTGTCAAAGCTCAGGGCTCAAAAAATTCGAACCAATTCTTTCCCCTTTTTTTCTCTCTGAGGCGCGCGTATATAAAAAAAAAAGACAAGAACAGGAACAAGAATTTCGCCAGCGCCGGCGCCGCGTTTTCCCGATTCGATTTTCCCTATGGATTTCCCCTACTAAAGGAGAATTGGCAGGAAGTCTCTGCTTGCCCCTCAGCAGCATCCCTTCCTGTTCTCCTTGGCCAAAAAACCTACTGTAAAGTATACAGGAAGCAAGGAAAAGAAAGCACAAGAACCAAAACCTGGAGACACAAAATCAAAGCTCAATATCCCTCCAGAAATACATGCATTTTCTTCCACACACAAGTTCACTGCAAAAGTAAGTTTCTTACAGTATTCTGTACAGTATCCTACTGTTCTGAAGGGGTCACCTCTGAATTAATGCCTGTGATGGAAGGATTTATCACAGCAGGATCATACTACAATACAGTACAGTAGTTACATCATAATGCATCCAAAAGTGTGGTAGATGGTCGAGTACGGCAAAAAGTGCTTGTCATCTGGTACAAGCGTACAACTCACTTTGACCCCAGGGCCTTATAGCTGCTTTTACTGTATATTGTATACATGCTATCATGCAGTCATAATCTGAACCAATTGTTCATTGTCAGGCGCAGCATGCAGTGATGTGCAGTACTGTTCAGATATACTATATACATGTATGAAGAAGTATACTGTACAAAGGTATATCCTTGCGATCCAAACCATTAACAATTCCCCAGTAAATAACGAAGAGTATCTTAATTAAAGAACCGTATCTGAGAACCATTCTGATATGCCTCCAGACCCCATTTTAGATGGTTCCCCTGGCTGGTGCATGAGCAGATCAGGTTCTTGCACAGTGGCACACATTATAAAGGGAGAATGATTGCTGAGATATGGTTCAAACTTGAAAATACAGGAGTTTAAGACATTCTATGTTAACTTGTTTGCACTGTATCCAGAATCAAGTACAATATTATCAGCAGAAGATTTTGGTCTGTTTCTCAAGTGCAATGTCAGTAAAGGCAGAAAAAAGATCCTAATCACAAAATTTTTGTCATGATAATTTTGTTGTTGTATAGATTTAAGTACTGTAAATTACTTGCTGATCTTGCTGATAGAAAATGAGCTTAAGAAAGATTTATGAGTATTGCTGCAATTCAATGAAGAGACCTGCCTTTCTGTAATCATGGAGGATCAAGATAAACTGTTGACCTCATATGATTTCTCATCAAAGATTCTCTCTGAATTGTGCATTCATCTGCACCTTATTATCTGGAAACAGGCTGAAGACCTTGTGCTTTAAATTCGGCTCAGTAACTGAAGCATTTTTGCTATAATTCTGGCTTATGCTGCAATTCTTGTTACTGATATTTTGTTTTCAATGTCAGGGAAAGAATAAAGGGGGTGTATGCATACACATCAGTTGTGCAGTTGTACATTGTGGAATGTATTTTTGTTTATTTGGCTATCCATATACAGTACAGTACAGTTTATTTCTCTGTTTCCCATTCTGAAGTGATTGACTGCATTTGAATAGATTTGGCTTGGGTGCATGAGGAGGGGGTTTGGATGTGAGCATTATGTTGATTCAACCTTGTGAATGCTGAAAAGCAGAAAAAAGCATTCAGTTCAACTTCAACTTCACCTACTTTTTCCTTACCTCAATTTCAGCTTGAAATTTAGACTCAAAAGCATGTCCTATAGTCATGACCCCACTCTCATGGTGGCTTTGGAGGAGGGAGTGGAAGTGAATGGCCCTCATCCAGCTGAGAGGCCTGACAGTGAACTGCATGAAGTTGAAACCAGGTGCATAACCTCCAGACAACCTACCCTGTGATTCATCCTTGGTTGGGAATTTTATTTTTTGGTGCTAGTTGCCTCAAATTGGTTACAGAGTTCAGTTGGGAAAAAATTGATTCTGAATTGACATGATGTGCAAAAATGTTATGTTTAGTAATGATGCAATAATGCTTTATTATATGCTTATGCTTATAATGCTTATTGTGATCTTCCCTTCAATAAGTTGGAATAGTGGATAATATTGTACTAGCTATTACAATGTTTTACCATTGATGTTTTTCAGTTCACTGCTCACATTTCAAGTTCACAAAGTTTTTTTATGCACTTTGCATTATTGAAGGACAAGAAGGAAGTGCTTGGGGTGGATGTGATACCCATAGATATACATCATGAATGAAGTCAGTGTTGGATCATCCTCAGTAAAATGCTTATACTGGAGTACTAACTGCCCTGGCTCATTAAAATTCCGAAAAAATAACCAGGAAAGGAGGAAAACCTTGGAGCATTTCATGACTGTGGATTGGAAATGGAGGGACCACATCATAATGTACAGTACTTGGAATTAAAGGCTACAGACAGACACCTTGCACATCCATCAGATGATGTTGGGTACAATTTAATGTATTTCAAGGTGTATTTAAGAGCCTTTGATTATTTTTATAATTTCAGGGTAAGCAATATTATTATTCTAAAAAACTAACCAGGAAATATATTTTGCATGCAGAGTACCTGTACTGCAAAAAACAAAATTGGCATTCTTGATGTCCCTTTTCAGTGACCCTGTCTTTGTAGGATGCTGCAAAAGTATGCAATGCATTTTCATATGTGTATAGAGGAGTCTATTCCAGACGTAAATAAGCTAGGTAGGAGAAAGGTTTGCTTTTGTATGCTCATATGCTCAACAACACGTTTTAATTTTTCTTTGCACCTTTTTTTTTTGGTTGAGGTATGTGCTCCTACATTACTGAATCCAAATTGAATATGGCATGAGCTTTTAGTTCAGAATATGACTTTTTAACTTTATGGACTTATTGATGTAACATAATGGACAATATGTGTGATGCACTTCCTCATATTGATGCTGAATTCATGGAGTCAAGCCTAGAAAATTTTTATCAACTAGAGAATTCATCAATTCTAGAACTGGAACAACATTGAGTTACAGCATACTGTATATAATGTTTAGCATGGTTGAACTATATTTTTGTAGAATATTGGTATCAACATGCATAGGCAGAACCCAAATAGTGACAAATGGAATAGCTGCAACTGGAAGGATTCTTAATTTTTGATAGTTTCTTATTATTGTAATAAAATTGAGGCACCAGAAAATCTCTTCAATTTTGTTGCTTTCATTTAGATTGTTGCTTAATTTTTCTTACACTTTCAGTGCCTTCTTCTACTCAAAAAACGCTACTTTGTAGCAATCTTTTAACTGCATCAAAAAGTTATCCTATCTTCTGAATAGTCCCCCTTTTTAATACAGTACTGTATCTTAGTTCTTCAAAAATTGAAATCTGAGATTTCTGTGAGTGCATGGATTCAGGCAATACATGAAATATTTTAATTGTTGGAAAAAATCAACGTATGGGCAGCTGTTAATTAACCTTGAAAAAATCCAAAATGCTTGAAAGGTTTAAGCTAATTTATTTTACAGCTTCAAGGCATATTTGTCAATTTCCAGCCCATAAATAAGTATACAACCTGTTCCAGAACACTGAGAACTAGAAGTGAGAGGTGGTCTAAAGTTTTATTTTCACTGGTGAAAATATTGCGTGTGTTTCTAAATTTGTAATCATACACTCAGAGAAATCTACTTCTTATATTTTTCATGAAGTATGATGATTATTAAGAATAGGATATTTTTACAAGATAAGAGTAACTTTTTGATGTGGTGGAAAATTTCCATGCAGCATCATATTTTGAGAAGAAGAAGGCATTGCATATTTTATTTTGTAAATGTAAAACAGTTCTTTAAAATTTGAATGCAATTGATGTTGGGCAAAAGAGAATGTGGGCGACAAAAGAAAGTTTCAGACATCTCCTGATGCTTCAAATTCCTGAAAATAATCAGAAATTAGTAAAAATGATAATTACTTCAGTTGTCCCCTATAGGCCTATAGGCTTGTGGCCTCTTTAGAGTTGTGGCTCTGCTGCATGTTGTTGAAGATACTCTAGATATTGTACATTCAGCATCAAAAATGCCAACACAGGTAAGCTTTTAGAAGGGGACTATCTTCCAGGCAATGCAACTTAAAAAAAAGGAAAATATGATGAAGTAAGGGATTTTACTATAGTTTAATGATTCTATATATGTTCCAAGAGAGATGAAGAGAGCATGGGGGTGGAAGGAAGTTCAGGATTATTCCAAAATTTCCTGATCAATTGTATATACTTACTTCTGCTCCTGGCGGCGCTGTATAGTACTCCTTGAGATGGTCACATCTGTTGTAAGTGCCCAATTTCCAGCATTTTCTCCTTGTCTTGAACAAGAACCTTGTTCTGAAAGACTATAAGGTAATTTTGGGAATGTGAATTTATTCTGAATAAAGACATCAATGCAACAATTTTATGCAGCAATATTGTACTGCATAATACAGTACAGTACATTGAATCATGATTTTTAACAAGTATGGTATCATTGGTATGACCATAAAATCTCTCATTCCCCAAAAATTATTGATGAATACGAGGGTTCTAACAAAAGTTCTCGGAGTCGACCACAAGCCATCACCGGAGGTGGATGAACATTTTTTTATTGGATTCCTCATCCTTTTTTAACCCAGATCCAATTTTTTTGTCATCCCTAGACAAAAATGGAAACTGGGAAAGAAATTTGAATGAGTTTTTTCTGGTGATGTGCCCACCCATTCTAACAGAAGTTCTCAGAATCAACTACAAACTGTCATTGGAGATGGACATGGATTTTTTTATAGGATTCCTCATCCTTTTCTGGCCTAGAATCGTTTTTTTCATATCCAGACAAAAATGGAAACGCAAAATAAAAACTTGAATGAGTTGTATCCGATGAAGTACCCACCCATGACCAAAGAGCAGTTGCACACATGCATGCTCCTGCACACACTGCTTTGAAAACTCTTGATTTGATTTCAAATTCGGGCATTCAGCTTTTCACTCTTCCTTCTTACTCCCCTGATCTTGCTCCCTGAGATTTTTGATTCTTTCCAACTGTGACAGAAGGGCTTCAAGGGAAAGTGTTTTTTGTCAATCAGAAAATTTTTTAGACCTAAAAGTTTTTTTTCATTTTCATTCCAAGAACTTCTGTTAGAATGGGTGGGCACAGCACCAGAAAAAACTCATTCAATTTTTTTTCCACTTTCCATTTTTTGTCCAGGGATGAAAAAAAAATTGGTTTAAGGTCAAAAAAGGATGAGGAATCCAATAAAAAAATGTTCATCCACCTCCTGTGATGGCTTGTGGTCGACTCCGAGAACTTTTGTTAGAACCCTCGTATATCATTATGTTAGTTCATTGCAGAAATATGTATGTTAAAGCACAATGAAATACTAAGGATTCCCAGTTGTAAAAGCACAATCTGAGTAGTTCTTCAGCATATTGAATTTACATCTGGCGTTGAATGAATTTTGTTTCATATAACATTACTGTACTTTGGAAGAATGGGTGCATCAATATGCAGCATTACTTTTGAAATTAAAAAAAAATGATGATCAGATTTTAACTAATGATTTTTATAATTTTTCAGATACCATTCACCAAGGAGAGGCAGTGGTGCAGAAAATGGGATCCTATTAAGATTTAATTATGTGGATGTCATCAAGTTTCTGTCAGAGGTATTCATCAGAGCAAGGACAAATGCCATTCCATATATATGAGATCAGGCTTCACTAAAGCTGCTTAAATTCATTCTTTTGCCATTGCTTGAGCCACCTGTCCAGCTCCAATGAATAATTTGTCCCACAAAAGTTGTCTATCAGGACATTTGAATCAAAACACTCTCAGGAAAACAGCAACAACTGTTGCCACACACTGAAGTCACAGCTCTGAATCACAGAAAATCTTCATGCTCCCATCAGATTTGAACTTTCAATATCTCACCATGAGGTGTTAAGCAAACAAATAGGAACAGCTTTCACTCAGTGCCAAAAAATAATTTTCTACTCATTGACTGCATTATGCCTGATGGTCCGGTTCACCAAGGTTTTGAATTCAAATTTTTAAATGCTTTTTGCATTTAAATAAATGCATGAATAATTTGCTGTAATATACAGATACAGTACATCAGAAAACAAGTCATGCATTCACACTTATTGTTATAGCATTGTGCCTTTCAAGTGGTGTCACATTCAAGGAATTAATTCTCAGATAACATAATTCTTCTCTGGCTGTGTTTGGAAGTTATTTGCACAAATAAGCAGTATAGTGATGGATTTGGCGTATCTCTACTTGCAAATAACACCATCTTTCCAAATTCAATGTAAAACAAGTGTAGGAGCATTCACGCGGCTTGCAGGCAATATATGTTAACATTTCTCTTTATGGAGACCTTAGTGTTGTATCATGTTAGTTTTTATTCAGAGGAATAAGGAACAACTTGCCTGTGTGCCATTTTTGTGAGACTGACAATATCATCATCTTCCAATGCAAAATTCACCAAAGCAACTTCACACAAGACAATATCGCAAATTCTGCAAACAGATAAAATCAAATGACCAGTTCGGCCTGTGTGAATAAACGCTGGCATAAATCTGATTGAAACAAGAATTGCTTTGCAAAAAACAATCAAAAGAATTCCAAAAACATATATAGAAAGAAAGGCAATTCAATTTGCCACAAAACAATACCCTGGATATCCGGATTTGATTGCAACAATTAATAAATACATATTTATAGGTTATACAGACCATACAAGGTACAGTATATTCCATGCAATTCACTCTAGAATTCTAGATTGTCAGAAGGATCAATGTCAATACAACATGCATGAGGTTGATGTCAATGAAATTACGCCAATTATTTATTGAATGATGGTGGAAAGTAGCGTTGAAATTGCAATGCATGGTGTTAGACCAAACACAGATGGGCATTGTCAACATGACACGGACATGATAAAAAAGCCCGACCAGCAATAACTGTCAGACACTGTATCAAATTCTGCAGTACCATAATATACAGTAATTAAAATTTCCCTCGGACTTCTCAAGCAGTCTCCTCCCGAGTGGTTAAACATGGCGGCGTCCAGTATGGTACAGGTTGGTTCTGTCTAAACGCTCAATACGCACGGGCTCCAACGTCTGAAAGTCTTTCTCTTGTAAGTTGGTGTGAGAGATTCGCTCCTTTTGTGGTTACGCCCGTGAGATAAGATGCCACGGTCGGATGCTTATTTTCTGCAATGAGTTGAGAGTTGTCACGTTGCGTTCGGAGCATTCTCTTTTAATTCTACGAAGTTTCTGTGCTTTCAAATATTCCTTTTATCTGGAGTGATTTTTCGCATTGCCGCGGGAAGGAAAAAAAGTCTGTGTAGTCTGTGACTATCGTCGTCTTCAAAAATTCTCATTTGTGAGAGGTGCTGAGATTCCGCGTTTATTTACCTGAAATACGAAAAAAATAGGAAAACTTCGAAACAGCTGATGTGACTCCGTTATGGCCGGAGTTTTTGACATCGAACTCCACGATGAAGATATCGTGGCAGACTCCGACAACGAAGATCAAGACAACGTCTTCGATGCGGTAAACTGTTCTTTCTTTGTTTTCGAAAATGAAATCACTGACGACTTTGTGTGATCAGGGGCCTTCTGCTGTTGACGACGTGCCTGAACAAGTCGAGATACCAATTATTCAGCAAACAGTGAATCCTGGTCTCCACGAACGTATCGGACCGCAGGACTTCGAGCTACGCAAAGTTTTAGGGAAAGGCGGGTACGGGAAGGTATTTCAAGTTCGTAAGCTCAAAGGAAAGGATTCCGGAATGATCTTTGCGATGAAGGTCCTGAAGAAGGCAACTATTATTCGGAACCAGAAGGACACCGCTCACACGAAAGCCGAGCGGAATATCCTCGAGTGTGTCAAGGTTAGTGTTCCTTGTTGCAAAAACACGTATGATTTTGAAACGGTGATGTTAATTGCTGGTTTTCTTCGGTTTGAAAAAATTTTTGTGAAGGGACTGCAGGTTTCACGATATAATTCATGCTTGAACCGTTGTCGTTTGTACGAAGAAGGAGCAATGTTTTTTTGTTGTTGTCCTGAATCTGTTTGATGGATTGTTTGAGCTGTTCTTGGAACATCTAAATTAGTTTAATTACAATATCCACGCACTCGAAGTAATGCAAAGTCGGATGATGGTTTATCTAACGGAACGTTGGGTTCTTGGGAACACGAGTTCGAGAAGCTAAATATTTTCAACCTCCTCATGTTTGAGGCGGAAAGGTTTTTTTGATTTTCCGAGAATTATTGAAAAGTTCAGGCATCATGTTGAGTATCTTACCTGATGTGCCGTACACATGATCCCTCTAATGTTTTTTCTAAACTTTTTCACCAGCATCCATTCATTTGTGACTTGATTTACGCGTTCCAAACTGGAGGCAAGCTGTATTTGATACTGGAGTACCTCAGTGGCGGCGAGCTGTTCATGCACTTAGAACGTGAAGGGATCTTCATGGAAGACACCGCGTGCTTCTACTTGGCTGAGATCATCCTCGCATTGGAGCATCTCCATCGCCAAGGAATCATCTATAGAGATTTGAAGCCAGAGAACATCCTGCTGGATGCGTCAGGGCACGTGAAGCTCACTGATTTCGGGCTTTGCAAGGAGGCCATTCACGATGACAATACTGTCACTCACACTTTTTGTGGAACCATTGAGTACATGGCACCAGAAATTCTTATGCGCTGTGGGCATGGGAAGGCTGTGGACTGGTGGTCTTTGGGTGCTCTCACCTTCGATATGCTCACGGGTGGGGTGAGTACGGCACAGAACATTATCCTGTGGAATTTTAGACTCCTTGTGAAAGGCGCCCTTGCTTTTTTGTCTTCGCAACGCTTCCATTCCCATCCAATTCTTCCTAGGATCTATCAATTGAAACCCACAGAAACCTAGCATTCTGAAATGGGTGGTAGAACCAAGAGCCAATACTTGAAGGAGGAATCATTGAGAACGCAACTGTAACGAGGAAAAACTATGTATTTTGTGTCGTTCTGGACGATAAAGTGAAACGTCGATGAGCCGCCGCTATATGTTCGTGAGGTTTTCGATGGTTTGAAGGTGGTTCGTGGTTTATGAAAAAAGCTGAAATTATATGAAAATCAATTATGATAGGTAATAAACTTCTTATTCTTCTAGAAAACTATCAAAATATCCCTGGGATGCGTACATTATATCCAGCTGATGGTCCCAAAAAGTAAATTGTGTCATCGTTGTGTTCGTGTTTTTTCTTTCTCTCACAGAAACTTGAATCTTGTTCGTGGATTATCAGACAGAATTGATTTGCAGGAGCACATTTGATTCGTCAATAATTTTGGGGTTTGTCGTTTTACCGTGGTTTCCAATGCTAACATAACGGAAAATTCGTTCTTAAAAAAAAAATTGGCGGTTGACGAGGGTGGCAGCTTATCATGGGTGCCTCTTATTGGGGTTTCACTGTATACAGTTGAATGATGGCTTCAGTGTTTTAAATTTTGTGCTTTGGGTCTAATGTATTATGCATATTCTGGTCTTTCGTCAGGCATTAATGCCGATCAACTTTTCATTCTAGCCGCCGTTCACGGGAGAGAACCGGAAGCGTACGATTGAGAAGATACTGAAAGCAAAGCTCATATTGCCACCATACCTGACGCCTGATGCTAAGGACCTAATTAGGAAGCTGCTGAAGCGGCAGGTACGTTTTGAGTGAGGTGTGAACGGTTTCGGTGTAAGCGAAAGAAAATTGGTCCACAATTCTTCCGCTTCTTGCTTGAACATCCCGAATGTCGTGGTGATTGAATTTACTGTCTCGATATCGTGATTTGCATCAAGAACGCAGTGCACTGAGTGAAAGCGCATTCGCGAGTGATTAATCGTCCGAAGTTCCCTTGCTGTGTGTGAATGAGAGCGAACCTTCGCTGTCCGTGACGCTACGAGTTCGTAAATCTTTCGGAAAACCTTGTGAAAGCTCAGCGGTATTTTTGCGTAGAAAGTTGCATTCTTGTGTCGTATACTTGTACCTCAAATCTGACTTCATTTTGTTCTGCGAAGAAACGCGGATTCGATATCCATTTACTTAGTGCCGGAAGTATTCCGCTTTCATGCCGGGGAAAATTTGCACCGAGCAAGGATACGTTTTTCTTGAGATTATGTAATGATTGTGTACGTGAAGTATCTCAGACGCAAATTGCATTTGAATCTTGAATGATAACGGTGAAGTCATTCTGGCTTCAACAATGATCAAAAGATTTTGTGTGGTCACCTTTCGCATTATTCAAAGATAAAAGCATGCGCGTGCATTTGTATTACCCTCGAAAAATCTTCAGAAAATTTCGAGATAACATGATGTACCACGTCATAGTGTTGATTTTCTTGGTTTTTGAACCTTCAAGAATTTCTTTTTCTTCCATGTTGATGAATACTGTAATTGTTTCAAAATTGTGTTCAATGCGCCCCCGGTCTATTCCTTCTACTGCCTGAAGTTTTATTTATTCTTGTAAGGACGGAGTCGCACTTACCTTTTTCTTCATGCCAATTTATAATTGAAAATCCTCATGACCTCGAATTTGGGGCACACTTTTAACCGTCTCTAGCATGAAATGCTATTTTAAGCAAGACCTGGATGGGTTCAGTTCACAGAGCTGGAACATTCAGAAAATTGTACAGTACAGTACAATTTAAATGCGTGATTCTCCTGAGAAGAATACCGAAATACTTGATTAAATTGCTGAGTTTTGAGGAGTACATTGATCTTGATATCTTGTTATGGAAGGCGTGTCAGTCTTGCCTTGTCTTATTGAACTGTACATACAATATTGTATGTTCCAGTGATTAATTACCTCTCGTGCTGTGAAACGCGTTTGGATAATATCAATGCAATTCTATTTCCTTCCAGTGCAGCAAAACGGGAGCAAAGTTGAGAAGATACTTGTTTCTGTACTCTCGTTGTTCTACATTTTCCCTCCCTTCCCATTTATAATACTTTTACCTTGAATTTAATTCCACGCATCTTCACTGCCACGAAATACAGATGAATACATAGCGGCTCTGAATCTAGGCTTGACTGTGTATCAATGCCCTGAATAAAAATTCCGGTTTGCCGGATATGGGCAGGGTCAAGTGGATGATTCACTGGAACATCTTCACTGGACTTCGCGCGAGTCGTTCTTGATCATACCTTGTCATTATGTGTTGGGGAACATTTAACCACCGCCGCAGTAGTCATTCCTTTTTTTACTCCTCAAGATTTGCGTTGAAAAACTGAGAATAATCCTTGTGATTAAGAATACATTGAAGCGTCTGTCGCGACTTGGTGATTAAGAATTGGGAAACCGCGGTGTTTTTTTCAAAGAATTATTTCATATGTGTCTGGGATGATCGAGAGATGTGATGGAACCTGTTGCCCGTGTTCCTGTACCATTTTTAGTGGTGTTGAACTGAGATTTACAGTGCGATATTCGTTCCAGGTGATATTGCGACTCGGTGCCGGGTCTTCAAATGCAGATGCAATCAAGGCGCATCCGTTTTTCAAGCACATCTCCTGGGCCGACGTGAATGCGAGGAGGTTGGACCCACCGTTCAAGCCGAAGCTGGTCAGTGACGATGACGTTAGCCAATTCGACTCCAAGTTCACAAAGATGACGCCTTTCGATTCGCCGGATGACACTACCCTCTCCGAGTCTGTCAATCAGATTTTTAAGGTGCGCTGCAGGCTTTTTTGGGGGCGAGCTTTCGTGTTTTTCTCTTTGTCTGCAGTCACTTGTGGGAAGCCGGACCATTTTTTAAAATTTTTATTTGAGTAGCGTAAGAATGTTTTTCAAGGTCGACATTGTCTTGGATTCTCTTGATGAAAACTTGTGCCTTGGGGTGGTCTAAAAAAGTGCGGTTTGATCTCGATATCTCGAACCTCCCTTCGTGGATGATTTTTTGACGTGGTCTTAATCCATTCAAGTCCTCCCTAACCTGAGGACTATCCCCTGCAAATCTCTTTAACTTGAATTTTCTCGAAGCCGTTGGCTATTATTTTGGGGACTCAAGAAAGGTTTGTGACCCTCTCTTGACTGTCGGCGCCTATTAGCTGCAGACTATATAACGAATTCCTAAAACTTCTGTTACCTGAAGATTAGTTTTGTTTTGTAAACCTAATCTTGTCCTGCCATCCACCTTTCGGGTAAAAGCACAGCAGACATTTCAGTGTGTGCTTCAATGCTGGCACATGAGTCTGCGTGTGCACATCAACAAAGCTGGTTATCATGTTTACCCTGTCTGCACGGGGCGAACCCTTATGAAGTTTATTATTGCGCGAGCCATTTTCACGATGATTCTCTCTGACGAAAGCAAATGATTTCGACGGTTATCCCGAATGAAAACCTTTAATGTTGACCGAGAACCGGAAGATTTTTCGCTTCGTCGTATCCTGGATATTTTCTTTGAAATTTCGGAAACCATTTAGCTCTCTCGGAGAGACGATGCTTGTTTACGGAGTCTCGTTTTCATATCTTCAGACTGCTCGCGAGAAACACTTCTCCGTTGATCGTAGTGCTAATCATTGTGAAAGTCAGTTTAGCTTCGTCACAAAATATTTATCATGTGGCTTTTAATGGAAGCGGAAACGCGGTGGTGAGTACAGTCGAATTCCGATGCAGTTCCACCATCTGTCCCACAGGAATTTGTGACAATAAAATACTAAATCGAGGGAATACAAATAATTCAAGATTGGTTGAATGTGGACATTTTGGAAGACAGGCACATCACCTTTAAGCCACTGATAACTCTTTCCAGGAATTTAATCGATTGACTGAAATGAGTGCAGTATTTGAATGTATTCCACTGTGTACTGCTTTGAATAATACCGCCCATTCTTTGTAAGACAAACTTGAATTTTGTAAAACTTCATCACTCCATACAACATTTTTTATACAATAGAATCGCATTACGATGAATTCCCAGGAACCAGAAGGAAATTCCTTATATCAAGATTTATGGATTCATTTACAGAAACAACTCATCCGAAAAAGCATTTTACTGCTTGAAATATTCATTGATTTTACTCTGCTCAATTTTCTTTGCCACACGCTTCACTAACACATCCTCACTTGCTTTAGCAACTTGAAAACATGATCATTTGCCTAGAATAATAAATTTAAAATGAAACTGAACACAGAAGAGCAGTAGAAAAAAATTCACAGATTTTGGTGGCTCTTGGAGTCTCCAGTTCAAAGTTTGCACTATGCTTGCAGACCTTTTAGGTGGATAAATTAATCAGGGTAAATTTATTTCTTGGACTTCCTGCTGTCAGATAATGTGACAGATTTTTAGCTTCCTGTTTTCTATAGCTTGGAGGCAGACACATTTCCTATCCACAAAGCACTCCACTGATGAAGAGTCACAGGAACAGGGGGAAAATGTACAAACATGGGGAAGAAAAGTTTTGGAATCATAGGAAGAAAATCGAAAAAGTCGGGGGACATTTTTTAAAATTAGGGACAAAAACTCTTCATAAACAGAGAGTCTGTGAAAAAATAATTCGTTAAAGCAAGATCAATTTTAGCTACACCTTAAGGGTAGCTACCGGGACTTGGAAGACATTTTTAGAACGAGATTCTACTGTATTTCTTGATATGAGGGGGTAGAAAAATCGGGAAGCATCAGAGCTGATGAAAATGCCACAAATCCCATTAAGTAAAACTTATTGTGAGGCCGATGTATCAAAAGAATGTGTAAAATTAGTCGAGTTGCAATTACTATCAACAGCCATCATCTGAAGCATTGCAATGTTTTACATTCCCCTGAAAGTTCATCCTTCACTGTATAGCATGTGTCATTGTGCAGGAATCCCCACAAATTTGTTTTGAGATTCTTATGTTGATAGAAAAAATATTTCTGACCTGAGTTTTTGGGTGTTCTCCTTGACAACTTGATGCTGATTGAGTGTCAAAAAACCTAAGAAATTTCTTCTATTTCGCACATCGTTCTGCCGCAACCGCTATTTTTGTGGCACCAAGTGAGTTGTCACTAAATTGGGATTTCCCTTTATAGCATGTTAGAGAGAGATTTGTTTGTTGAAATTGGTGGCACTAAATCGAGGCTCGACTGTTTTTCTGTATTCTGAATGCAAGTTTCTTATGTATGGTATTGGTACGTGATGTGCACACAACATTGTGTGTTGGTTTATGTTCGTCAGTTCATCGTAGAGCTGAAGAGAGCGACAACGCTTGCCTAATAAGGAGAAATCGCTGTGTGTGAAGATGATGCCGAGCTCCACTTCGTGTAAACATGCTTGTGGTGTTCGCAGGGATTTACATATGTGGCGCCATCTATCCTGGAGGAAATGCATAGGGCAAATGTTTCGGTGATTCGAGCCCGTTCTCCACGGAAGTGCAGCTTCCCGAATGTGCTGCCAGGTGGCGTAGGAACCGGCAGCAGTGGCGACACCTCGGAAATGATGGACGTGACGCATCCTTAACCCCTGCGAGGACCTTAGGACGGACGATACGAAATTTTCCCCTTCTCTTGTTCTCCGCCGAGTGATTAATCGCGCGTTATTGTGCATAGTTTCCGCCAGAGACACTTATTTTAATCGTGAGGCACAAAGTTAGCGTTAGCTCCCAGAGGTTTTACTTTTCTGCTTTCCAGGCCTCTGTTTAATCTGTATTTCTGGTCTTGGGGAAGTCCAGTCTCTGCCCCCAAGTTCCGTATCACCTTAAGCTCGACATGTGCCGAAGGAAGGAAGGATGGGGTCTATTCGGGAGTTGTTCGGCGTGTTTTCGCGGTGAACCACGTCCGAACACGGGGATGCAGCAGGTGATCATTTCCGACGTTTCGTGGTTTCTTATCTTGTCGTGTTTCTTTATTTTGACGTGGTCTGAGGATTTTGTTACTTGACTACAATAGTGCAGCCGAAGACGTGATTGACGCGGTTGCGACGAGTGCACTCGAACTTAAAATGAGAATAGGTAGTGCCAGTAAATGGGGTTGTGTTGGCAATGGTAAAGTGAATGTCCAGTGGTGGTGTGTCGTATCAATTTGGCCCGTGTTCTTCGAACTCCTGCTGGCCCTTGGAGAAATTTCTGTGATTTAATGCAGTGGATACGAGATTCACGAACATTTTGCCAATTTAAATCTCGAACATCAGCCGGTCCGCGGAAATTGTGCCCCGTTTTTGCCGGTTCGCAGGGAATGACCCCTACTTTTCTCTGGCCCGTGGGTGTAAAAATAGGGTTGAAGAACACTGATCGATGTAGACAACTTTCCACGGTATCATTGTTGGTGGATCAGTGGCTTTTTCCCGAAGTCTCTTGATTATCGCCGTGTGTTCGGATTATTCAGAACTGTGTTTAAAACGTACGACTCAACATATTTTGGGCATTTCTCGCCCGAGTGTCCGTTGTGGTGGAGTCAAATATTGTACCTCAGTGATCGTGGTCGATGTGCATAAGATTTCCTGAGCGCTTCCGTCAAGGCCGAGTTGAGATGATCCGAGGACCTTTTCGTGGGAATTTCGGTGCTGTCGTGAATTAAATCTTTGCCCTGCGTGCACATGTCGTGAAGATCGGACGAAGAGGGACTTCGACGGGAAGTGTCGAGCTGAGGTGATGCCGACGTCGAATGGAGTTATTTTTGTGTGCCCAGAGGAGCGTTCGTTGTCGTGGATCCGGGCGGAGGCTGGACTGATGGTAGCATTTTTCTGTGGCTTTCGTGCGCCTAGTCAAGCGTCTTCCGTGGAGCGCTGAAGCTTGCCACTATCTGGGGTTCTGCTCTGAAAATTGTGCCTGGGACTCGCTGGTGCCTCTGCCTCCTCTTTTCTTACGTAGGAAAAGAAAACTGCTCTGTGTCCGTGGAATTATTATGATTATTACTGCGAATTCAAAGAAACGTGCTACCGACAATCTTGCTCTTTTTTTTCTTTTTTTGAACGGTTTCATCCTGAGTTCTATGCGGTTGTTGGCTTGTGGTGACATTTGGCACATGTATCTTGGGCTTGGAAAGAGGTTAGGTCAACGTCTCCCTTCAGAGTGACGGCATTTTCTGTCAACATTTACAGATCGAGTTTGAAAGCTCGAATATATACGAGGGTTGTCTCAGTTGGACGCGAACTCTGATATTTTTAGAGTTGGTGATTGTATAAAAATGATGACATAGACCACGACATGTCAAGTTTCTGGGATTTCCGTCGGATTTTCAAGAACATTTTTCAGTTCAATGAAATCATCATCATGATGATGATTGAAAACGTTTAAGTTCCTTTCGGATTTCTCCAACCATGTCACTGAGTAAAAATTAGTCAGGTCAGCTGAAAGATTGAAATTCTTTCATTTTAGCCATTTTCTTTTCTAAAATTTGGATGATGAGTAAAAGACGGTATTCATGTTTTTAGCCTGCTTTAGACATTTTTAGCACCCTGTGACGTGAGTGGAGAACTCCGGCTGTAACTGTGAAATTTACACTTATCATTTTGTAGTAGAATATAAAGTATTTAAAAACTATTTTAAAATTTAAAAAAATTCCAGAACAATAGAACATCATGGGTTACGTCATGACTTTTTTTTCAACACTCCTATCATGAAATTAGACAAGTTCGTGTCCAACTGGGATAAACCTTGTATCTTCTCCGGCTATTGCATTCTGTACGAAGATATTTCACGTGAAATTGGAATTTTTTCTGTTCCCATCTACTGACTTTTGAGCAATACACAACCAAATTCGGCTGTATACCTGCTAATGAAAAGAAAAATGTGCATAACTTTGATAACGTCATTAATAATCAGTTCTGATCTGATTTTGAATCACCTGTTCTAGTCTAGAGGGAGTTGATTCGTAGCTTTTCCAAAAATGTTGTGAGTTGGGATACCCTACTCGAATTTTCCTTTTGCTGTCTCCTGCGTGTCGAAAGCTTAATCTGCCATTCCAAGTGCTTCTCAGAAAGACCCTCATGCAAAGAAAGCCGTTCTGAAATTCCAAATTGGTCAGTTGCATGTCATCTCTGCATTTTTTTCTCTCTTCATTTATAAATGTATCCGTCGACTCCGCCTGTAATTTCAACAAGTCTGAAACGCGTTTTAAACCCAGGGTTCTCATATTGCATCAGCAGAAGTTGGATAGGCGGGTATTTCGATTACGTTTAGAACCATTTAGGAAGTACTGAAAGTCTTACAGTATCTTGTTGATGGAGGGTTTATTTTCGCGACGAGCTTGATGATGAGATGCGATTGATCATATAATACGACGTACAGTATTCAAAGCATGGCCTCCATCGTGATATTCGTTGATGGATTATGTGAAAGAACGTATGAAAATTCGTAGATTGATCATCTTGAATAAAGTTCGCCCATGAGGTTTGATGTGAACTTTCACGGAATGACAGCGGTACAGTACTGTAATTGCATTTTTATTGGGGAATGATTAGATGAACCTTTCGTGTTCCTTAGGCTAAGAGAGGTGTGTTGAAGTCCTATGATTCGGACATGTCGTCTAATCCTCCGAGGTGCCTTACAGTCAGTCGGCTTTCTTGTTTTCATCGAAGTGCCCATCCTGCGAATAAAATGCGAGGAAATCGCCTTCTCCTGAAGCCAGACGCTGCATGAAACTCGGGAGTGTTGACAAGAGATGTGTGACCTCATGTATTTCCTTGTTCTGATTCGTCTCGTGTGTGCGTGTGTCCATGCGTCTGTTTCCAGGTGTGTGAATGTGCAATGGGAGTGGGTTGAGTGATGGAGAAGCCGTCGCGGATCGCGAGGCCGGTGACGGGTCGTCCGCCGAGCGCCAGTTCCAGTGTGGACGACTCGTCGGATCGTCCGTTGAGTCTCCTCAACGGAGAACGACCTCAGCGTGAGTCCACTTTTGCCTTCCTCCCCTGTCCGGTTGGAGTCGATCCTGACTCAGATCTACTGCACGGTAGATGGAATTGTTGTGCCGAATTTTCGGCGGATGTGATTTCGAAGAGGGGTGCCACGCGCTCCCGGGAGATGAGTCCCCAACGAAAAAGCGGGACCTGAGTGAAGGGGTCGCGGGGACAGGGTAGAAAAGGGACCTGTGACAAAAGGTCCCGAGGGGGAAGCGGGGCTGTGGGACCAACAGGTGAGGGCGTGATGGTCTGTTGTCGCTCAGATTTAGATACACATGTGCTGGGAAAGCCTCACAATTTTTTGCATTCCTTGCCCAAGTGGGGAGCTATTCTTTGTGTGACCCCACAAATGGTGCACACTGGGGTCACAATTGGTGTACATGGGCTTTTCTGGGGTTACAAGAATGCACCTCTGTAGGCAAAAATTTGGCTACCATTCCTGGGCTACATTTGGTGCACAAATGTGACATAACAGGTGTATCACTCAAATGCACCAACTGTAACCTTGGTGTAACTTATTTGTTCACAAATGTGACCCTGAGTAATCCTGGTGTGAACACACAATTGGTGCACATTAGGGATATGCATGTGCAACAGAAGAACTTGGGTACACTTCAGGTGCGCAGCAGGATCACTGTGTAGAATTACAAACATATCCCCAGTGTGCACCAATTTCCCCACTTGGGTGGAAATACAGTTACATCTTGTTACAATAAACTTGTAGGGACTTCAGAAAAAGTTTGTATTGGCAAAAAATTTGTTATTACGAGATTTTCATAATTAATGACAGCTAAGGAAGATTGTTTTAAATTAAACCTGCATATATTCAAGATCTTCCTTTTCTGGCCTTCCTGTATTCCCATGCTTGAAAAACTGTCTTTCAAAAATAAATTTGAATGCCTATGAAAAACGTTCCAGATGAATAACTGGTGAATTCCAGCAATTCTTGTGAACTGTCAAGTTTTTCAGAACAATTCCGGTACAGATTTTCAAGGATAAATGTTCCAAAACAGCTTACAGTTGTTCAGCATGAGTAGGGTTTCTCAAGCAGCCTAACTCCAAACAAGCCGTGCAACCTTGGAACATGCGTTTGCTGGATTTGTTTTCCTAATGAGCGCCCCTCCTAACCCATAAACTCTATTTCCCGCAACACTGTTGTGAATGTGACACACCAACATTGAGTGTCTGAAAAAATGTTCGCACACTTTCCATCAGTTCGGATTTGAGCATAGAGTTCATGACCTTGTGCAGACAGTGAATGTAAACCGGCCCAATTGAAAGGTAGACAGTGGGTAAATAATGTAATGACCATTGTTGTACAGTATTAGGCATGATGTAGCAACCCAACTTGCTATGCGAAAGAAAGAAAATTGTGATGCACAGTGATGGGTATTCTTAACGTTTTGAGGACTCAAAGGAATATATGACGTCGAAAAGAACTCTCATCAGTCTGAATGGTACTTTTGCCTGTTGTGAGTGTAAGCTGTTGAGACACATGTGAAATTAAGTTGACCATCAATCCCCCACCTATTGACCCGCCTACCCCCTGGGGACTTTCTGTCGCAAGCCCCTTTGTACTAATTCGTCCCCAACCGGGTACCGTTTTCTTTGGGGACCTATTCTTGCCGAGCTGTGCGACGCACAGTAGTCGTACATCTCGTACTTAACGAGATGGCGTCGTCGGTTTATATCGCGAAGCGGGTTGGTGTTCGTGCGTTTTGTTGAAACTTGTCGGTATCGTTTGAGAGATGAGCCGTAATCCGAAAACGGTTTTGGATTCCTTTCGGAAAATCTGACGCGGGGATTTGTACGTGTGTGGGTGGTCTGTTCGCCTGATGACTCGCGTCGAAGTCATTCCCGAAAAAGGGCTGCCTGAATGTTGGCTGTTTCATGCTGAGGGAGTGTTCGATTTGATCGCCTTATTCGATTTTTTTTCTCTTCAATGTTTAACCCTTTCCTCTGTGACCTTCGGACCTTGTCAAAAGACACACGGGGTAATGTTATCGTTGTACTGTATAGTTGATGCAAACTTGATCTGAACCGAAAAGCGTGAGTGAATTTCGGGTGACGAGCATGCGATTGCGATTGCCAGTGACATCTATCCGCGGCATGCATGCATGCGACTTCAGGCCGCACCCTGTTCCGCGCGAAAAGTTCGCGTTCCTTAGATTGCGAAATGTTCGTGGATCCTGTCTATTGAGTAGTCAAGTAAACACGATGAAGTACTGTACTGTACTTGGTTGTAAAAATACCTAATGGGGAAAATGACTAGTCTCCATTGAAATTTGGAAAGCATTCAAGTTGCGAAGATTCTTGTGAGACTGATACCATTTTCCGAAACACGCGTCATGCCGGAATCCCAGAAGCGAGTGAAACTCCGCGTGACTCAACGTGAAACCTGAGATGCAGCTGGCATCTAACCGATTAACACCTGGCTTGCATAACTCGAAACCCAATGAAGCTGGTACCTTAGTTTCATCAGTTTTTCACTTCATTGAACAATGATTTTGTTCAAAGAGGAATCGATGGACATCTGTTTTTTTTTCTCAGGATCAAAATGTACATATTGTTTCCAATTTTCTCTCTTGTGTGGGACAAAGGTTTATTTATTACGTGTGAACCCCTTTAATGGGTTACGGTGTGGTTTCACTTCTGTCAAATTCGACCTACTTACTATATGAAGAAGCTTTTCAAAACAGCCTTGGTTACCAAAATTTGGGTTTGGGTGTTGGCTAAAAACACTGACCTGGAATACAAACTTCGGTTAGTTCAAATGTGAATGTGTGAAAATTTGTTCCCCAAAAGTCTGATTTCCTGTTCAGCGGAATTTATCTTGTTCATGTGTTGATCGAAAATGTTTCACTCTGAAACTCTGCAGTACTGTACTGTGTATGGATATTTTGTTGATATCAAACTTCTGATTGTTTTAAAATTTTCCGTTTATCGCAGCAAGGAAATTCCACAATCAAAAATGTTCAGGTGAACTACTCAGTCCAAGCCAAATTTTCAAAAATTAAAAATTTGGGGCAATTTATTTTCCATCCT